TGAACGGTGACAAACCTAAGTGTACGGTTTCAGGATATATCGTAGTCAGAACTTTGATGGGTTGGGAAAGGTGGAGTAAGAGAGACTCCAGTTTGGGGGCATATGGTGAGATGAAGACTAAGGAAGTGTTGTGGATATTTGTCACTGTCAGGGTGCTGGCTTCTGAAGCCCCTTCTTAAATTCATAGAATTTACCTTGCTGTAAATTCCAGGGAAAGGGTGCGAGAGAATTGTTCCCCGTCACCTGGAAGCTGGGGCACCACCGAATGCTTCTGTCAAGGACACTGCATCAGGAATGATGCAGCAGAGCAGGGGTTTCATGACTAACTCCAATGGTGTGCATGAGCTGTGTTTGGTGGCAGTATGCTAAGCAGGCAGAGCCTTGGTTGCTGTCATTCTGATCACCAAGCCTCTCCTAACTCTGCTTATTTTCCAAGTCTATTTCTCCAGCTTTCCCATTAAAAAAAAAAAAAAAAATTGAGGTATGACTTACATGAAAGGCAAGAATCTTAAGTATGGAACTTCATATGTAAACACCTGTGTAATTTCTACCTCGATCAAGATATAAACTATTTTCAGCACCCTGTAACAGTCTTCCCTCTGAAACATTGTTTGTTGTTGTTGTTGTTGTTTAATGAATTCCATTTCTACGTGAATTAGCCAGTCAGTTTTTGGCTAAGTCAGAAAGCAACCAAGAACTCTGATTTCTGGCACTTCCATGTTTATCAGACATGAGACTTACTGAATTAAAAATGAGCCTTGGGCTGGAAAAAGAGCAAAAGAGCATTCCTCTTCATACCAAAGTCCTCAAGTCTGTAAGACTCAAATAAAAACTTGTTATTATTAAACATATTTCAATTTGATCACTTTCCAAGTACCTAAAAGTTGGTATCTTTAAATTATAAAATCCTAAACCTTAAAATTCTTCTGTCTGGAAACATTAATTATTTTCAGGAACCATACCACTACCCACAACCTGTTTCTTTGGGGTTCCTAATATAAAGCCACACAATCTGAAGTTTTCCAGAGTTAGATTACGAACTGGGCTTTGATATGTATATATGTATTTACTCTTCCTGCTTTCTTAGTCTTGCAGTAACTATTGGCATCATTACCAGGTATAGAAGCATTAGTACTTACAGTTAACAGTACATTATAAGGTATTTTGATAAATACTACATTAATAAAAAACTTCATTGTGTAAGACTGGTGAATTATAGACCTGTACCCCTGAAACCAATAATACATTATATAGTAATAAAAAAAATAGCAACTTCCACTACAAGCTGCTCATCTAAAAAATGTAATGGTCACCTCAATCTCATTTGATGGTAACTCCATGCTTCAGTTGCTCAGGCCTTGCCCCTTTCTCTCAGGGTCCACTGGCAGATTCTTTCAGCTTCTACATTCAAAACACATCCAGAATACAACCAATTCTCACCACCTCTCTTGCTTCTTCCCTGGTCCAAACCATCATCTTTCTTGCTTGAATTACTGCAAAACTTGATGCAAGAAGGTAACATAGAAATGCCTTCACAGTTCTAAAGGGAAGTGAGTTGGAACCTAGAACTGCAGGTCCAATCAAAATGAAGTATAGGTTAAAAACAAAGGCCTTGGGGCGCCTGGGTGGCTCAGTGGGTTAAGCCGCTGCCTTCGGCTCAGGTCATGATCCCAGATCCTGGGTTCGAGCCCCACATCGGGCTTTCTGCTCAGCAGGGAGCCTGCTTCCCCCTCTCTCTCTGCCTGCCTCTCTGCTTACTTGTGATTTCTCTCTGTCAAATAAATAAATAAAAAAATCTTTAAAAAAAAAAAAAAAACAAAAAAACAAAGGCCTTGTCTGATATGCAAGGACTCAAAACTTTCTCTCAAGCACCCTTCTTGTGTGTGGGGGTGGGGAGGGTACAAGGGGTGACAAGAGCTGTGTGTTGGAGGGAACTACTTATATACTTCAGCAAACAAACAAAATCCCTAAATTTTAGAGAGTGAGATACATAACAGAATATAGGAGTGCTAGGAAAACATATATCCCAGGATGACAGCTGAAAACCACATTGTCCACATTTGATAAAGTTGATTAAAAAGCTTAGGATGATCTCAGGGTTTTACTGAAGAAGATATTTTTCTCTTCTCAAAGAAAAATAAAGGCAAAAATGTACTTCACGAATCCCAGGATGAGCGCTAAAAGCACTTTAAACAAATCTGGTAATTCAAGAGCATGATAAAAAGAAAAATAAAAATCAGCAAAAGCCATGACCCAGTTATGAAGCAAATAGCACACAGCATGATTTGGAGAAGTTGATGGCTATAAGATAAAATAATCCATTTGACCTTTAGCTTGGAATATTCTGCTTAAATAAGCATAGACTTCAGCACATAAGATTGGATATGTAAGAGAAAAAAACATCTGGCTAAGCTGTAAACGCTTTTGCATAACCCAGTGCATAATGGCTATTGATTTGTAGTTTTTAGGATCAACGTATTAAGGAAAAGCCTAAGTCAAATACAGTTCCCCCAAATAACATAATCTATTAATGTTGATTATATCAACTAATTGTGTAACTTAGAGAAATTAAGAGGTAAAGGGCAGTAATGGGCTGAAGGAAAGTATAGCATTGGTCATTTCCGCAATGGTAGTGAGCCAAGAGATACTGTTTTAAACAAATGGATGAAGAAACAAAGATTATTAAAGTTATAAAGGAAACTGAAAGAAGAACTAAAAATATCAAATGGGGAGGAGGAATGGACATGGCTTGTCATTCATACTGGACAATCAACAGATACTACTCAAATGACAAATCAAGAAACAGCAGCAGCAAACCTAGACCCAGTGATGAAGGCCATGCCTACTTGAGGAATAGAAGGCAGCTGTACCGCTGAGGAGCAGTGCTGGTGTGAATGGCAGGGAGGCTCACTTTTAATCTCTATCCGTCTGAGTTGCTTGAACTTTATTTAGGTACATGCACTAAAATTAAAATTGTTGGGGGTGCCTGGGTGGCTCAGTGGGCTAAAGCCTCTGCCTTCGGCTCAGGTCACGATCCCAGAGTCCTGGGATCAAGCCCTGCATCAGGCTCTCTGCTGGGTAGGAAGCCTGCTTCCTCCTTTCTCTCTGCCTGCCTCTCTGCCTACTTGGGATCTCCGTCTGTCAAATAAATAAATAAAATCTTTAAAAATGGAGCACTGGGTGTGGTGCAAAAACAATGAATACTGTTATGCTGAAAATAAATTTAAAAAATTATAACTAAATAAATAAATAATGTCTATTTAAAAATAAAATTAAATTAAAATAGTTTTTGATCCTAAAAGATGTCAGGACTGGTAGACTAGAAGGGAATGATAGCTGATAGTCTAATAGTGCAGAAAGAGCAGATATAAAAACTCAAAAAGTCTTGAAGTTAAAGGTCATTATAGTAAAGGCATACTGAGGGTTGTTGGAGGGGATGGGGTGGCTGGGTGATGAACATTCATTGGGGAGGGTATGTGCTATGGTGAGTGCTGTGAATTGTGTAAGACTGATGAATCACGGACCTCTATCCCTGAAACAAATTATATATATGTTAATTTTTTGAAAGAGTTGAAATAAAATAAAATGAAGTAAAGGCATAAGCTTACTGAGCACTACTAAATACAGCACAGTCAATAAAAGAGATTTATAGTCAGGACTCATGATTTAGACAACATAAATGTTTAGTATTTTCTATTTAAGATGGCAGAGATTAAACTACTCCCATCCAAAATTATATAACAAGATACATCTGGCCTTTAAAACATTTCAGATTTTGGAAAATTCAATTCTGGACCCAAAAATAGTGTTACATGTATTTAACAGGTAACATTTGATTGTCCAATACTCTAACACATTTGTTTAAAAAGAATGACATCAAAGTAAGTAATCCTTAAAATCATTATGATAATTAATAGCATGACACCAAAGTTATAATACTTTAATAAAATTTTACATTTCTGGAACAACTTATTCAATTCATTCAATATACATGATATAGCAAACAAAAACATTTAAAGCACATTTCTTTTGACTGTTTATTCAATATATATACCTGTCACATGTTTTTTTGGTATTCTTCTGAACTATTATACAAAGCTTTAAAAAATGAAATTTTCATATAAAAATAGTTATTTATCTGGCTTTTTAACAGTTGAGTTTTCAAATTAAATAACGAGGTGTTCTGTTTATCAATGTATATTACATAGAAATAGTTAAATACTTTAATATTTAGAAAAACATCAAGAAGTCAGTTTTCTAAAGGCTACTACGTCTTTAGTTGGTGATCCAGATTTTATTTATAATTTTAAAATTACATGTTCTGTGGGTATAAAAGTTTAAAAAAATACATTCCAATTTAATTAAAAAGGCTTCTAAATTTACATTTTCAAACACTGCTGTGATTGCTACAGTGACTATCTTGTAATATACTTAGCCAAAATAAGTTAATTTTTCAAAATCAGTAACATGGAGTATGCTGGCAAGATTTCTTTCTAAACAAATAAGGGTAATTATAAAGTCAATGTTATCGATATACTACTACAAATAAATATGTTTAAAGTATAATTACTTTGTTTTAAAAAGCAGGACATAAAAATGCATAGAATAGGTGAAGATTTTTAATGCAAATCACTAGTGCAGAAAACTGGGTTCTTAATTCCTTAAGACAGTAGAGGATTTCAGTTTAAAAGATGACTTCTCACTAGGGATATTGTGACTTTCTGCAAATCAAAAAAAGAAAGGCTCTTATTTCTATTCAGCTGCTTCTAGTGTTTTGGTTCAAGTGTTTCTATGGAACTCCTTTAACTTAAATGTTCTTTCCCTGAAAAAGACATTTTAAGCTAATAATTTTGGCCTCATGACATACATACTTTAAAGATACATGTGATTCTGCAGCCAATGCCTCCCCCATTCTAATATCTATCCACATATGCACTTATAAATAGACACTTTTCCAGGATTATAAAAATATTTAATTTTCATAAGCTTAAATAATTACTGAATGTTAATACAGAATACATTAATATTTGTATAATTTTACTTTTATTTATAAAAAGGTTTTTTATAGCAGCATTTGCATTGCAAATGAAATATGATCAGATGATGTTGCAGTGTACATGGACCCACACTGCAAACCTGACGGAGCAGCTGCCACGTTCCTCTAAAAGAAACATCTGTTTCAGCTACAAAGGAGCAGTTCCTATAACTTACAAAAGCTGTGAGGGGCTAATAACTTATCTGAACCTTATAAGTGCATTTAAAAGTTATCTCCATAGAATTGGCCATATTTGTTAAAAGTAGTCACAAGGCCAAGTTATCTCTGCCCCCAGAAAAATTTTCTAATGAGATAAGTAAAAATTACATTAATGAATAGAGTTTTTAATTGAATCACATGAACTAACTAAAAATTAATGGCATTTTCAAGAGTAAAAAAATAAAACCATCACAGTGAGAGGTATAAGATAGTGAGAAAGACTGATCAGAAATTTAAAACATTACAAAAAAGCAAATTAAAACTCTCAATCTCAAACACTCATATTAAGCTTGTTTTTGTTGAGTTCACGCTCCAGATTTCCAATCAAAGTATCAATACTTTCTTGTAGGTCTTTAAGATTGACTTTTCGGTCCACGGTAGACTCAATTGTCTGCACTGTCAAGTATGTCTGAAATGTGTACTCTTTGGACATGGGTACTGGCTGTTCAATCATTATATCTTGTCCATACATTTTGCTACAGTTTTTTCCATCTTCTCTATCTTCCGAAGGGACGTTATCATAATCTACATCATTTAAATTTTCTTTTGCATTTAAAAAGTAGTTTTCTCCACAGCTGCTCCAGTCTCCTGCATAACGATTGCTAACTGGACTATCTAATCTGGTTTGCCTTGGTCTAAGTATTCTTGATGACTCGGTACCACTCAAATTTAACAGGCAAGGTCGTTCTTTCCTCCTCCTCAAGTAATTTAGAGAAGACTTCTGCTCTGGAAACAAATTGTCTGTCGATTCTTTGACAGTTATACGTTGCACTAGAAACAAACAACAAATTTGCTTAGTCACAGCCATCCAACTGGCCTTAAAAAAACAGAGCAAAGATAAGCCGTTTAAAAATCAACTACAAACATGCATTAAAAAAAACATGCACACTATTAAAAAATAGCATTCCATAATTACTTTTTTCTATCACCAGAAATAATCAAGATTAGGGACAGAAGCTAGGAGAATGTTCAATGGTGCTAATTCATGCCATATCATAACATCCCCAAACAAATTTCTGATGTTGATTAACTTTCGGTGCAAGTTAATTATTATCTAGCTATAATTCAAACAGTAGCTAAGCTGGTAGCTTCTTCTAAATTAAAAGCTACAGTAAAAAGCAGGCAAGGCATGTTGGTGTACAAAAAAAACAAACAAACCAGAAGTTCCTTCTGCAAACATCTAAATGAGGCAAAGACATCTAAAGTGCTCACTCTAACCTTTGTGCTTTTTTGCAATTCTATTAGCAGCGGTGTCAAAATTTACTAAGCAGCCCAAATTTCACTTTGATAAAATGCACAAATACTAGACTTGACCACTAGTTACCTGAGTTTGATTACACAGCATTAGCTACTAATAGTCTTCATTTATTGCCTGAAAACAGTACAGATACTTTATTTTCCCATTCTGGTTAGGTATTTAACAATCTTGAAAAACATTCTTATTAAAATTCATTTCTTCTAAGAGTATACATTGTGCTGGCCGTACAGATTACTATAGATAAACACATCATGAAAAACCCAGGCTTTACTGTTTACCCTTTCTGTGAATATTGGACAAAACATTTGTCTAGGGTTCTTCTGTATATAAAAGGACTTAAATGTTGAGGCATAGCTTTTAAAAACTGTCCATAATGCCTTTTTCTTTTTGCTTATTTTCCATTAATAAATGCCTCTCCATTTATACTTTCTTTCACTAAGATACATATTATCAATGTGAATATATTATCAGTAGTAACACACCCACTTTTCACACTCCAACATATAAAGAATGCTTGTTTCCTACTGTAGAAAATAATAAAAAAATAATATAAACATGTATATAGTGCTAGTTTTCCAGACTTACAGGGACCTTAATAACATTTTTCAGATCATATCTTTTTACTTAGATTTTATTAAAATACTTGATAACTATCTATAGGTATGTTTTTAGCATGTCCATTTGTCTATATTTCTATGATGGCCAGTATATATAATTATGAATAGCTAACAAAACTCTTGATCAAAAATTTTCTGGAAAATAAAGGTTTGATATTTACTTTAAATTGATCTTTAGTAACAGTATTAATATATAATGCCCCATGCCATTAATTGATACAATTACAGAAGGAATATCTGAATTTTTTCTACTGTTTAATTATTCAAATTCTTTTTTCTCCTCTAGCTGCTAATCTTCTTGCCTTTTTCCCTCATTTTCTGTGCTATTCCTGTTCTTAGTGCTTAAGTATCAAGACTATTGTTTTCATTACTTTGCTAACCTTGAAGTCATCTGGTTTGTGAACCAACCGAAGTAAAAAAAAAATTTTTTAAGTAAGCTCTGTGCCTTGGCAACATGGGACTTGAACTCATAACCCTCAAGATCAAGAGTCTCATGTTTTACCAACTGAGCCAGCCAGGAGCCCCAAAGTAAAACATTTTTGATTGTTTGTTGAGCTTATCTTGTTGTGCCCCTATCTCTAACATTTACCTGCAAAACCCAGATTTATTCTGTTGCCAGTTACTTAAAGTTGTTTAAATAAACCCTTATTCAAACATGATCTTTGTATATTTTCTTGGAAAACATTTAGGAAACCAATTATAATATTTTATATCTTTTAGACAAAAAATTCAGTTTCTGAAAAATCAACTTCACTGACTTTTTAAACTATAATGGTGGAGTGATTTCCTATTAAAAATGCAGAGAAAATGTCTAATTTTAACCCCAAAAGGGAAGTTCTAGTTTCCCAGCATTATGACTGCCCATCTTCAACAGAATAAAATTTAAAATGCAATCTATAAAGTTGCTGAAAATGTTTCAAAATGTAATGGTAAGTACTAAGAAACTTAATTTTCTTATCTTGTTCTACTGACAGATTTATATTTTTAATCACTTTATTAGTCTTTTATCTATAGCATAACTGCCTTATTTAACAGAATATATTAAGTGCCTAGATAATGCCAAACACCACCATCTTAGAACTTGGGTTCTAAGGGTAAGCAAAATATAATCCCTGACCTCATAAAGCTTACTCTAGTGAGAAAAAAATGAAAGAAAAAGGAATAGGGAAAAAAATTATAGCTTTTCCCCAAAAAACCTGCCCCAAATTTACTCATCATAGAAAATGTGCTACAGCAAACAGCTGGTCTAGGAGTTATACTCTCTCTAAAGCTATTTCCCCATCTGTAAAGAGAAAGTAAATTTTAATATTCTTCTTAAAACAGCAAAACCACTTTTAAAAAGCAACAATTTTATAAAAATCCAATACATAAAAAAGATGAAAAGAAGACTATTTTGATCAAAAGGGAAGTGTGTTTACATTTTGTTCCCTCACCTGCTGCCAATCTGGCTCCGAAGCTGCTTCCAAAGAACCTTAGGGCTTGGCAGAAGACAATCTGAAATGCCACTGGCGGAATGATTTTTACCTTCTAGTGCCAATATGCTAGAATCCTAACCAATCACTTTGCAGATAAGATTTTTCCAATGGAAAGCTTAAAGCAAATTTTATTATTGCCCCAAATTAAAAAACAAAAAATGACACAAAAAGTTAAAATGACGAAGCCACGTGGGTGGGGGGAGGGTGGAAGCAACTTTTTTTTACCTCCAGAGGAGGAGGGGAAATTCCAAAATACAAAAATAAGTAAGATATGCATCTAGCAAAGCGGGTCAAACCCTTCTACTTGGTGCCTAGAGATGGGCATTCACCAAGTTCATACACTATGGCCCTTTTTCTGTATCACTACCAACTTACTCAGGCTCAGTAATGGTACCACTTCTACTTGATGTTTGCCTTTCCTTCAATCCAAAAGCAAATGATTTTTGAGGGCCACATTAACCGGTATTTATTCTCATCTTTTTGCCCTTTATCTGAGGTACTATAACTAAAGAAAAATACAGGTTATAGAAAAGGGGGCAGGTTTTTTTTTTTTTTTGTTTTAATTGAAGTACAGCTGACATACGTTTATATCACTTTCAGATGTAAACACAGTGAGTCAACAATTCTACAGATGACACAACGCTCCCCATAGCAGGCGTAGTCACCATCTGTCACCAACGTTATTACAATGACATTGACTATGTTCCCTATGCCGCCCTTTTCATTTCCTGGACTTGATTTGATTTGGTAACTGGAATTCAGTGTTTCTTAGTTTTCTCCACCCATTTCACTCCTCCCTCCACCCACTGCCTCTCTGGGAACCAGCAGTTTGTTCTCTGTACTTACGAGTATATTTCAGGTTTTTGGGGTTTTTTTTTTGGTTTGGTCGTTGACTTGTTTTGTTTTACGGATTCCATATGTAAGTAAGATTATATGGTATTTGTCTTTGTCTGACTTATTTCACTTAACATGATATCCTCTTGGTCCATCCATGTTGTTGTGAATGGCAAGATCTCCTTTTTTTAAATAGCTGAGTAATACTCCATAGTGTATATGTGGGTGTGGTGTGTGTATCACATCTTCTTTACCCTTTTGTCTACTAATGGGCACTTAGGCTGCTTCCATATCTAGGCTACCGTAAAGCTGCAATGAACACAGGAGCGCGTACATCTTTTCAAATTCATGTGTTCATTTCCTTTGGGTAAATACCCCACAGTAGAATTACTATATTGTATGCTACTTCTAATTCTTTGAGGATCCTCCATACTGTTTTCCATAGTGGCTGCACCATTTACATTCCCAACAACTCTGCATGAGGGTTCTCTTCTTCCCACATCCTCACCAACACTTGTTACTTCTTGTCTTTTTGACATTATTCATTCTGACAAGTATGAAGTGATATATCACTATGGTTTTGATTTGTATCTCCCTGAGGATCAGTGATGTTGACCATCTTTGCATGTGTCTGTTGGGCATCTGGATGTCTTCTCAGGAAAAAGGTCTATTCAGGTCCTCCGGGGCAGTTATTTTTAAATAACACTAAACTCTGATACAGAATTAGTGATAAAGAAATCAGGTACTTATAGTAAACTCCAGGTAAGCAACTTTTCATTTATCAATGATGAAGATGGCTCCTTTCCCAATTCCTGATGCTTATTAGAATTAAAGCAGTTGTAGGAAAAACTATAGGAAACACATATTTAAAACTTTAACCTAGGAGCTCCCTTCTGTTGGGTACCAAATACAGAAATCAAACCAATTATCCAGAACCTCTTGATTCAGGATTTTTAAATATTAATGATATATACTAATTTGGTTAAAATTAGAAGTGTTTTTTAAGTCTGCGTTTGAAAGAAAGCAAAAATTTTAACTTTATAAACTTACAAGTTGACCTTTTTATTCACTTTCTATAATTAATTTGATTTTTTTAAAAAGACTAAATCAAGCATTTCTTTGTACTTTGGTCTATCCTCATATGTACCATTAAAAGAGTAACAAAGCTAACTTTATACAAAACACTTTGCACAATGCCTAGATGCTTTGTCTATAGAATCTTCATAACAACCCCAAAGTAAGAACTATTTATAGAGAAGCCTACTGAGGCTTAGGGGAATTAAATCTGTGTCTGGGCCACAATCTGGATCCAAATCCAAGACTGGCTCCAGGGCTCAAGCACTCTTACTACTGTGTATTACGCAAGTTCCTAGGTACTTTCATGTTTGGTATTATGCAGGGTGGGGAAGTGGGGGGGTCACTACAGGATAAAAAAAATTTGGGAACTTAAATACAGCATCCTGTATAGAACATCTCATTAAATACATATTCCTTTAGCTCTGAAACTACATAACAGAGGTATTAGGAAAATAACTGTCAGCTTTTTGTCACTGACTGGAACAAGGGATGGATAAGAAAGATGGAAAGATCAAAGATGCCTGTCAACTCAAGCCTGGAAAATCTGAAGAACAACCATGGATACAGTAAAGTTGTGAGGAAGAAGAACCGAATGAAGGAGAAAAATGATTTCTCCTTCATATCAGCTGAACTAAAAATGAGAAGGGTAAAGAAATTAATATTTACAGAGTACCTATTATGTGACAAGAGCTGTGCTGAGCACCTTACAAACATAACTTTTTATTTGATTCCCCTATAAATTCTATAAACATTTTATTAAATCCATATGACAAAAGAGGATATTGAGGATCTAAGATGTTAAAGAACTTGTCCAAGATCAGAATGCTAACAAGCAACACAACCAGGATACAAATCCAGATCTGACCAAAATGTGTACATTGATCTATATGTCTATCAGCGAAAGCAAAAATCTAAATGGAGAAATTTAAAGATATCAATTCTTAACTATCTGAAAAAGCAAAATCTAGAAAAGATTTTCTCAAATCATATATGGGTATATTTAAAGATTAGTTAATTCAAACACCCTATCATTGAAAGAGAAAAATATTTCCATAGAATCATTTACCTGGCCACAGCTGAAGTAAGTAATGAAGAACTTCAATATGTTTTTTAAAATCCAAAGCACTTGCAAGTTCTTCTGAATCAGTAAAGACTCTGTTGTTATGGGTAGAAGTCTCTTGCCTTTGACTTAATAATACAGGTCCAAAGCACACGGCCAAATTCTGGCAAGTCATCTTGTTCACTTCATGATAAGAAGCCACTAATTTCAAATGATCCAGTAACATCTTTAAGGTTGCCTAAATTAAATTAAATTAAATTACATTTCACTTAATAGAGTTATACACAGGGGCAAATTTAAGGACACAATTTACAGCAGAAAATACAGGTAGGCGTCTTTTTAAAAGGTTTTTCAAAGATTTGCTTCTAAGTTGGATATTTGGAACTCTGAAACATATTTTCTTATGAAAACATTACATAGGACCCTTAGGTTCCAATGACATAACCTGATCCATTAAATGGCTAAAATACATACTCTTTATAAAAGTCTCATGAATGCATTCCAAATTTCAACTGGAGTGCCTGCAAAAATATACATCAACAGTTTACTCTCTTTCCTCCTCTAAAATGACAACAGCTTGGGCTGTGACGGAAGAGGAATTAGGTAAGAATGTTCATCTTAAGCACAAATAAATCCTGTAGTTGTGAGTAGGGGACTACCATCCTTGAATCTGGGAAGCCAAAGATTTCAAACATGACTCGGTTTATCATGATTCAGATTAGGAAAAAGGCTAATGCGCTTAACCAATAAATACTTTAAGTAGGCAAACCATGAATAGCATAGCTAGAAATAACAGAAAATTTAGTTGAAAAAGAATACTTTTTAATACTTGAGGGAACTAGTAAGGGGAGTTTGCTCAAGAAGTGGAAGATTATTTAGGTTTAAGCAATTATGGAAAGAAATGATGTTTTTGAAGTGCTGGAATAAGATCATTTAACAAATAAAATGAGTATATAATTTCTTCATAATTATATTAAAGAAATGAATGACAAATAAAACTGTAGTTATAAAAATTAGAAAGAAAAAGAAAAAATCAAAATGACATATTTCTAGAGCCAAAAGTGACAGCTGGATTCAGTGATCAGAAGGTCATCAGTAACCTTGGCAAAAACAAATCTAGACAGATAGGGTCAGAAGCCAGATTAGAATGTGTTGAGTAGTCAAGCGTGGTGAAGAAGTAAGGACAGCCGAAATAAACATTCTTTCAATGTTTGGCTGTGAAAGAAAGGAATGACAAGAGAATGAAAGCCAGAGGAGACTATAATTGATATTTTGAAATAAAAACAAATATATGAATCACAAAAACACTGTAAATAATAAGTACCTGTTCCTCTTCTCCATTCACTATACATTTCCTAACACAAATGGGACTCTACATTCATTGACATATTAAGGCTAGTTTCAGCATATTGTGCTGTGAGCAATACACACACACACACACACAAACATAACCACCTCTGGTTAAACATCTTAGGTTTACTCTCAATAGCAAACCAAGAAATACAACCTAAAATTTAAAAAATACTTCTTGTCTACTAAGATGAGCCAAAAAATGTAATTGTTGTGTCCCTCTTGAAAACTAATATGAAAATGTATTAAGAGCCTATACATGTTCACATCATTTAAATCAATAACTTCACTGAGATTCTATTCTAAATACAGAACTCTAACTGAAAAGAAATCTCTGCATACAAATACATACAAATAGGTTCAAAACCTAAATATTATACAAAAGAAAATAGTGACAACTTACGTCAAGTTCACTCAATGGAATATTATGCAGCCTTTTTAGAAAGGACGGTAATAGCATGAGTTTTGAGGCCTGACAGGCCTAAATTCAGATGACAGACTACAACACTCATAAAAGCAATATAAATTGGACAAGTGTTCGAATACCTAGATAACTCATTTCTTTACTTATAAGAAAAATGACACAATTTTATATCAAAGAAGGACTATCTCTATCCCTTCACCGCACCCTTCTGCTGCTGTCCACATCTTTGTAGCTGTTCCCCTCTCTCACCCAAAGAAGCAGTAATTGCTAATCTAATTGAGTAAGCACAAGATGTTCAGAAGACTATAGTAAACTGGTGAATGAAGTTTTGGGGCTTAACATTTCCATATGCTCAGGTGCCTGGGTGGCTCAGTAGGTTAAGCATCTGCCTTCAGCTCAGGTCATGATCCCAGGGTCCAGAGATCAAGCCCCAAACTGGGGGGGGGGGGGGGGGTCCCTGCTCAGCGGGGAGTCTGGTTCTGCTCTCTCTCCCTCTGCCCACCACCCCCCACCTCCACCATTTGTGCTCTCTCCCTCTCTCTTTCTCTCAAATAAATAAAATTTTTTAAGAGTTTATTTTTTTATTTGACAGAGAGAGACACAGTGAGAGCGGGAACACACGCAGGGGGAGTGGGAGAGGAAGAAGCAGTCTTCCTGCTGAGCAGGGACCCCGATACGGGACTAGATCCCAGGACACTGGGATCATGACCTGAGCCCAAGGCAGACACTTAATGACTGAGCCACCCAGGTACCCCTCAAATAAATAAAATATTTTTCTAAAAATTTCTATGTATTCATTCTTGCCCTTTCTACCCTCACATGATAAAAAATACAGGTAAAGTCAGCCTCATCCGGACAAGCCCAGCCATATCACTCTTAATTTCCCTTTTGTTCTAAGGAACAACAGCTAAAGCTAGGCTAAGACTGGTTCTGTAGACCCAGCTATCCTAATATCTGCTCTGCAGGCATGCCTGAAGATATGGATCTCAAGATTCAGATTGTGAGGAGGCAGCAAATGGGAAGAGACAAGAAGGAAAGAAACGGTGGTGATGAGGGTTGCTTAAGTCTTGAGGCTAAGCCATGTACACTACGACAGTTACCACATTGTTTAAATACTAAATGGAAATAAACTAATATGTTAATTAGGGTTGCCTTTGGATAATGGTAATTGCCATTTTCCATTCTTTTCTATATCTTCCCAATTTTTCTTTAATAAACATATACTATTTTAAAAAGGTAATCATAGTTTTAAAAAATGTATAGTAAGTACCTTTGCCTAAACTAAAATTATATATAGAAAAGATAAAATTGTTACCTAGATTTATTCCATTTAAGAAGCAGGTTTTTGACTTAATGTTGTTTAAGGAGCCTTTAGTAAAAGGAAGAGCTTAAACTCATAATGCCACAAATATAAAATAACTGAAAAATTATTTGTAGCTCTGGAGCTAAGTATGTATTCATTAGCTGGCTTTTAGGGAAAAAGGCATACCACATATGTTTACCTTCTCAACATCAGGAAGACAATCAAGCAGGTCAACAGTGTACTTAGAGTCACTTGGGTCATTCTCACATCCACTTGATGACATTTTCAAAGGATTTTTTGCCATTGTGTCTAATACAGCCTCATAAAGCTGCTTTGTTATCAGAGGAGAAGGAAGTTCTCTTAGATAGTCCTTAAGAACACCTTTAGAAAACAAAGACAGCAATTGGTCTTCAGAACAAAATTTTTAAAAACCGTGAATTTTTTTAAAGTATTGTTATAGTCAACCTTTAATATTCTGAAAATAATAAACACAACAACAAAAACCTATTAAACAAAACACTAGCATTCTGTCATCTTATAAACTGCCTCAGTAATTGACTTGTTTTGAAAGCATGCTAAAAATGCACAACATCATTCCCAATGATCATGCATATTAGGTTTGTTATTCATAAAGTAAGCAATTCATGGTTCATATACTCTATTGATTCTGGCCCTCTATAAATACACGTGAAACAAAAGTTGAGAAAACAAGGCATACTAATATTAATTGGAAATTATTCCAATTACATGAATTTTGAGTTTCTAGACTTTTGAGAGTTAAGGAACACAATGGTCCATGTATAGCATGATGACTATAATTAATAATACTGTATTATGTATTTGAAAGTTGCTAAGACAGTAGACCTTGTTTTGTTTGTTTACTGATGAGTAAGAGTATTCTTCCTTACATTGCTTTGTAGATTTGGGGTGTTGTATCCAAAGAGACGACTGGATCAAAAGATCCATTGGAATAAACTGGAATCCCATCCTCCAGCTATGCTGTAAGATTTTAAAAAGTGGCATTTTATAGCCACATCACAGTATTCCAAAGTATGAACATTCCAGAACTTTATCTAGTCAGTCACTGCAGATGGAATACTTGGGTTGTTTCTAATCTTCCGTTATTCCCAAACATGCTACAATGAATAGTCTTACACATCATTACTTGTATGTATGCACGTATGTCTATAGGATAAACTCCCAAAACAGGATCACTAAATCCAACATGTATTTGTGATTTTGAGGGAAAAGCAGGGGTAAGGATGTCTCCTACGTTTGGAGCTTGAGCATCTAGCTGGAGAGCAGTGCTATACTTTAAATGGCGGGGGAAGGGAATGGGAAGGAGTTTCATTTTGAGTATATTCAGTGTAAAGTCTCTAGGGAACATTCAAGGTTTCTGGATAGAAACATCTAAGGCTCACAAAGAGATGGCTGGAGACCCTGAGAATGATCAACTTAAAGAGGATAACAGAGCTTGGGAATAGATGAGATGACCAGGGAGGCACAGATGATGTGAGAAGACCCTGAAGAACAATGGCTTTTAAGGGGTCATCAGGAAGAGGATTTTCCAAAGGCGTCTAAAGAAGTATGGGTAGTGAGAAGAGGCAGGGAGGGGCTAAGGGGGGACTGGCAAGTATGCTGCCAAGGAAGTCAAGAAAAGAATGTTTCAAGAAAGGGTCTATGATATCAACCGATGGCCAACAATAGGCAGGTTGGATAAGAACCACGTTAAGTACTATGGAGAACAGTGTTAAGCAAACCTGGTTGCACACTGAAATAACCTGAAGAACTTAAAAATATATATATTCCAGAGCCCCATGCCAGCCCTACTAAATCATAATCTCCAGCGGTCTGAGCTATGTCCTTGTATTTCTAACAAATTCCTGTTGTGATTCTAAGGTGGCAGTTTTTGTAACTAGGTATAAGAAACATGAGATAATTCAAGACAAGGATCAAAAAATGTCCACCAGACAAAGAAGTCAGCAACTTTGGTAAGACAGCTTCAGGGGAATAAAGGACACAGAAATCAGGTTGCATTTGGTTCGGAAGTAAATGGATGTTAAAGAAATAGAGACAGAGAAAGCAAGATAGGTAATCTGCTCAAATCTGGCTTTGAGAAGGTGATCACCATAGATGGGTGGGAAGGAGAGAAGCAGGATAAAGTAGGGATTTTTTTTTTTTTAAGATGAAAGAGACATGACCATTTAAATGCTAATATAAAGAAGATATTAAAATGGTTTTTAAGGTCCAAGAGAGAGGAGTAAGTTAAGCAAAATCTTCAAAGAGGAAAGAAGAAAAGATTCCTAAGAACACATGAAGGAATTAAAATTAGTCCAAAATGTGAGGAAGATCATTTCTATACTGTTACAGAAAAGGCAGTGGAGAAGTACAAAGGATGTATGCCAAAGAAGGCATGCTGGCAGGTTGGGTCACAGCAAGTACAGAAGGTTCCTCTCTGACGGCTTCTATTTCCTCCAGGAAGTAAGGAGGCAAGGTCATCTGCTAAGAGTGACACGGATGAAGTGGGATTTGAGGAGTGAGAAAATATTAAACAGACACTCCGGAGAATGAGAGAAGAGGAATGGGAGAGACAAGAACACATATTTATTAGCAGACACCACTGAAAGCCCAGTTGATTTCGAAGTCCATGGATTTATACTGGTATCAAGATATACCCCTGTGTGATTTTTTTTTCTAGTAGAAAGCAGCAACTCAGATACAGGCTAGAAAAATAGACCAGCTAATCCAGCCAACATGGAGCAATGTGGACCAGATTTAACTTCTTGCCTGAAACAAGTAGAAACACCTAATAAAATAACTAGAAAACAAAACAAAACTATGTTCAACACATTGGACATCAGGCAAAGAAGGATATGATCCCCAAGGGATGGGAAACTAATGAAGTATGCCCATAACTACTTCAGCTTACTGCCTGGAAAGCCCTTCCAGGTCACAGTGAGGAGGTACAAACGCAGGTAGTTAGTAGGTCTAGCTAAGTGGAGGAGAGGAAGCTAGAAGTCTAAGGAGATCAAAGCAGCTAGAGCTTGAAGGACAGATTATTAGAGAGTAAAGAGCTGTCCAGAAAAAAACTCTTGAGTATTTCCAAATCCCCCTGAGTTTCTATCTGAGTATTGATCAGCAAGTGCTGGTGAGGAAACTAACCAAAGCCAGAGAAAAACTGCCCAAAATGATTAGAGGGAACAATTTCAGAAGCTTACAATGGCAGGCAACAGCTCCGGACCTGAGCAACCACAGTGAAAAACTTCATACCTCATGAGATTTGGCTACAGTACTGTACTAGGTTGAACTGTCTCCCACAAAGAAAATATATTTAAGTCTTCATCCCCAGTACCTCAGAATGTGGACTTGTTTGGATCTTTACAGAGATAATTAAAATGAGGTCATTAGTGTGTGTCCTAATATAATATGACTGGTGTTCTTATAAAAGGGGAATTTGAACACAGGGATAGCTATGCATAGATGGAAAAGGACGTGAAGAAGCCTGAGAGAACACCTTGTGAAGGCAGAGGAATGGAGTGAGGTCTTGATAAACTTAAGGAATGCCAAAGATTGCCAGCAAATCACCCAAAGCAATGATGAAGCAAGGAAGAATTCCTCTACAGGTTTCAGAGGGAGCAAGACAGAAGTATTAAAAGGATTAAAAAAATAAAACAAAACAGAACACCTAGCACCCAATAAAATAAAATCCACAATATCTGACATCTAACAAAAAATTACAATGTATATAAAGAAGCAGGCAAATATGATCTATAGCGAGAAGAAAAATCAATTGTGAACCAACTCAGGAATGACATAAATGATAGGACATTGAAACAGTTATTATACAGTATTTCATATATTCAAGAAGCTAGAAGACAGACTGAACATGCTAAGACACAGAAGGTATGAAGAAAAGATCATACTTGTAATACTGAAAATTAAAAAATCAGAGATTAAAAATACAATAGATGAAATTAATATTAGCAGAGGATTAATGACTTGAAGATACAGCAATAGAAATAATCTAAAATTAAACAAAGAGATTTAAAAAAAAAAGATTAGAAGAAATGAACAGAATATAGGTGAGCTGTGAAACAAACACAAGTGACCTAATGCATGTGTAATTGAAACCTTTAAAGGAAAGAGGGAGTAGAAGATGGGTGAGTCAAAACCACAATCATAGTTGAAGATTTCAACATGCCTCTCTTAACAAGAAGAAAGAAAACACATAAAGACATCGAGGATTGGAATAACATTATTAATCAACTTGACTGCATTGATAATTATAGTATATTACATTCCAAAACACCAGAACACACATTCTTAAGGGTTCAAATGAAAACATTCACCACAGAAGAGCGTGTCCTTGACATTAAAGTCAGTTTAAACAAATACAAAAAGATGGGGTGCCTGGGTGGCTCAGTTGGTTAACCGTCTGCCTTCAGCTTAGGTCATGATCCCAGGGTCCTGCGATCAATCCCCACATCAGGTTCCCTGCTCAGCAGGGAGTCTGCTTATCCCTCTCTGTCCGCCTCTCCCTGCATTCATGCTCTCTCTTTCTCCCCCCTCCCTCAAATAAAATCTTAAAAAAAAAAAAAAAAGATTCAGGTCACATGAAGTATGTGCTATGATTATAATGGAATTAAATGAGAAATTAATAATTTTAAATATCTGGAAAATTCCGTAAATATTTTGACACAAACTTACATACTTCTAAATAACCCATGATTCAAAGAAGAAAAAGGAAAACCAGAAAGTGTTTGAACTAAGTGAAAATGAAAACACAACACATCAAAATTTGTGGGAGGTTAAAGCAGAGTTTAGAGGGAAATCTATAGCACTAAGTGTCCACATTAGAAAAGGAGGAAGGTCCCAAATCAATGGGTTCAATTTCTATCTTAAGAAAATGGCAGAGGCGGGGGGAGGAGTACTCAAAGTGAGTAGAAGAAAGGATCACAGTCGAAAGGCCAGTGTTACCCTGATATCAAAACCAGACAAAGACATCACAAGAAAACTACAGACCAATAACTTTCAGGAACACAGACACAAAATTCCTTAACAAAATGCTAGTACACTAAATCCAGCAATATATTTAAAAAAAAAAAAAGAAGAAGAAGAAGAAGAAGAAACATCATGACTAAGTGGGATTAATCTCAGGTATGCAAGGGTTGGCTTAACATCTGAAAACCAATTAATGTAATATACTACATTAATAAAATAAAGGACATAAGCCACATGATCATTTCAATAGACTCATAAAAGTCATTGAACAAAATCCAACACATTTTCATGATAAAAACACTGAAAAAACTCGGAATAGGAGGGAACTTCCTCAACTTGCTAAAAGGGATCTATGAAAAATTCAGTTAACATAATAACTA